AAAATATATGTATTGGCGTCGATTTGCAGCTAAAAAATTTTGACTCATTAGTTAGTCCTTTGTTATTATATGGTTCAGATGTATGGGGATTTGAAAGTAAAGATAGCATTGAGAAAATACACCTTCAATTTTGCAAACACATTTTGAAATTAAGAAAAAGTACACCAAACTATATGGTGTATTGGGAACTCGGAAAATTCCCTTTGGAAACTATTGTTAATTAAACGTAAAATTATGTTGTTTTGGAATAGTTTGTTAATGGAAAACAATAAGTTATCATTATTTATGTATAAATTGATGTTAAAATTACATTTTCAATATCCCACAAAATTTAAATGGATTACGTATATTAAATCCATATATATATTTGACGAAAGTGGATTTAGTTTTATTTGGCAAGATCAACTTCCATTGGATAAACTTGGTTTAAAGAACATAATTTCACCAGTTTATCCAACATTTATTATCCCAAATGAATAACTCTTCAAGAGGTGTACTTTATGCAGAATACAAACATGATTTTCGTTTATATAGCAATACTCAGATGCTCAACTTTGAAAGTTCCCATATTGGGAAGATGATCTGGGATACCAAAAAATGAACGAATTTGTCATCTCTGTGGAAATGGAGTAGGAGACGAACTTCATTATCTATTCAAATGTCAAAAAACAGGAATTAAAAATTCTTAGAAATAAATATATACCACAATATTATATTGCAAACCCAACGGAGTACAAATTAAAACGGAATTTAATATTTTGTAGTGTTGAACTTTACAAAAAACGTAACAATATTTTTTAAAATACTTACACGATATTTACGATTTTTGTTTGTCTTTTTGGGTTGAATGTTATGATAATTTGTAAATTGACATTTTTCTGTATTTTACCATGCATTCGTTATTATGTATAGTGTAAATGTATTGATTATTCAAGTGTGTGTATGTGTATATATGATGTCCTCTTGTACACCTATGTGTCTGAGGTATAATAATAAAGTATTGTCTATTGTCTATGAATTTTATCAAATACTTCAAACGAATTGTTGACACTCCAAAAGCAATTAAATCCACTATTTTCGTAGACCTTATTTGAAAAATTTGTTACCAGGTTTGTGCTGGGACTATTATACTATAATAATAGTCCCAGGTTTGTGATTGTACCAAGTGTACTAGTAAGTAGAACACAATTTAGTAGCGGAACAATGGCTTCAAGATGAAAATAAATCTATATTTGTAAGGTATCTTGTGCAGCTTCGGAAGCCAGTACATAGTTTGGACAATTCCATACTTATTCGGTTCTGCCTGCAAAGAGGTAGCTAAAACTTTGTTTGTTAATGATGTAATTTTCCAAAAGTTGAGTCAGTTGGAATGTTGGTGAACTTGTGATTTTGTGTTGCAGAACCTCAATGTAGAATTTACGTCGAACAATACTATTATCTGTCAGCCTAACTCAGCCGGGACAAAAACAAATTCCTTGACGAGTTCTTTTAGCTTATGATTGATACGAGAAATAGAACTATTCAAATTCAAATATTTTATTGGATAAAGCACATATGATAAATATGACATTGCGTAATCCAAGTGTACACCATACATGACATATACAACATGAAAGATAATTGTAAATAAAACCAGATATAAAACATAATGCATAACAAGAGAAAATTAATGACAATTAATGAATGATTTTGTTTTTTTTTTGGTCTTTTGGAAAATGTTGTTTGTGCTGTATTTAGACCCCTCAACCAAGAAATTTGTTTTGCATGCACACGTATAAAAATGCGATTTTTATCCAACGCAATCATAGGTTTGAATTTAACGTTGTTTTCAATTTAGACTTGTTTATATTTTTTCGTTTGGGCTTGTATTATATTATATTTGCCTTCGGGTTTATATGATCCGTTCATCCTATTTCGACTCTTTCAAAATTCAAGAGTTTATCCTAAATTGAGGTAAATTATATGGCCTTCCAAATACCGTTTCGATTCCTAACATCACTGAAGAGACATTAATTGTCGAAATCCGGATATGGTGTACAAATTTTTGCACCTCATGTTTGCGGTATACATTTTATCCGCAAGTTTATTGTTTTTCTGTTTGGTAATACATTAATAATAAGATCTATTTTGTTACATGTTGTGATCCGTTTATTTGGCAATCGCCAATGGCAGTCAGCAGGGTTTAAGAACATCAGTTGTTCGACCTGCTAGTCAAAAGCGTTTTGTTAAGATATACCTTTTCCTTTTTTTTGGTCTTATGGAAAATGTTGTTTGTGCTGTATTTAGACCCCTCAACCAAGAAAAATGTTTTGCATGCACACGTATAAAAATTGCGATTTTTATCCAACGCAATCATAGGTTTGAACGTTGTTTTCAATTTAGACTTGTATATATATATGACCTGCTAGTCAAATGCGTTTTGTTAAAATATACTTTTTCACTTTTTTGGTCTTTTGGAAAATGTTGTTTGTGCTGTATTTAGACCACTCTACCAAGAAATTTGTTTTGCATGCACACGTATAAAAATTGCGGTTTTTATCCAACGCAATCATAGGTTTGAACGTTGTTTTCAATTTAGACTTGTATATATATATTTAAGGAATAACTGTAATATTTTTTCTGTCTATGAAGAAATAACATCAAAAATGTGATGCACACTGAATAACCCGCGTAGCGGGTTATTTTAAAGTGTGCATCACATTTTTTATGTTATTTCGAATAGACAGATAAAATATTACAGTTATTTCTTATAATTTAATTCTAAATTCCATTTTAAACCGGAGTAAACAATGAAAAAACGTTGATGACGTCACGGTCACATGACTAAATTATGTCTATGAGCTGATAAACAAAACAACGTCAGCCAATCAGCAGACGCGTTACATCCAAAATTAAATTATATATATATATATATATATATATATATATATATATATATATATATATAAAGAAAAGTCAAATAGAATCCGTATGCTGGTAACACATAAGAAAAATAATATAAGATAATGACGGTTTCAATTCATCACTTTTACTAGCGCTTTCACTGCTTTCACAGATCTTCAGGTAATGTGACTTGTATACATAAATGTTATAAAACAATTGATTGACGTTAACAATAGTTTGACGTTAACAAATACAAGGGAGACTACTAATGGCATTTTAAAATTGGAGTAAAGTCTTTAAAATGTTTCGTAAAAATTATTTATCATTTAATCCCGGGTTGAGAATGTTTATGAATAATTCTTCTTTCTTCTTCCGGAGAAAATCCTTTTGACGATTGACCATATACAACGGAAATATTTTAAATCGTCCATTAGAACAACGATGGAAATGGTCGTTAGCCCTGATGATTGTTAAATCTTCATGGTTGGTTTGCTGTCTATGTACAGTCATTCTAGTCCGCAGTTCTGTTTTTGTCTCTCCAATATAGAATTCCTCACAATTTGCACATATGAGAGAATAAATGACGTTTGAACTTTTACAAGACATATTTTGTTTAACTGTGAAATGCTTTCCATTTTTGAAATAAATTGAACTTTCTTCTATTAAATCTGGACATGTCATACATCGTTTATCGGTACATTTTCTAACAATAGGCAAAGTTTCATTAAAGTCGAATTTTGAAGATGTTAAATATCGTTTTAGACTTTTTGACTGTCTTTTACTGTTGATAATCTTCTTTTTTTGTAATACTTTGTCCATTTTTTCACTTTTGTGTAAATTATTTTCAATTTGTCGCATGAAACTAAATATATCATAATCTCGTGGGTTATATGTTGTGACAAACGGGATAATTTTGTCTAAACTGTTTGATGATTCAACTCGTCTAAACATCAGCCCAATAATGTTAGATCTGTTTTATCCAACGCAATCATAGGTTATATATATATACAACTCGTCTAAACATCAGCCCAATAATGTTAGATTTTAGTTCAGTCTTCCCTCGCCGGAATTCGAACTCATGCTACTGAGATATCGTGACACCAATTCGCCTGCACTGTATCCGACGCGCTAAGTACTTCTGAACCAGTGACAACTCTACAACAGATTGATCCATCGGATCACCAGCAGTGATGGTGATACATGGCTGTGTACATTCTGTATACACAACTCGTCTAAACATCAGCCCAACAATGTTAGATCTGTAAATTTGCTTTCGCAATTTTTTTTGATATATATATATAGAACTAAAAGTCTTTTTTTTTTATAGTACTTCCATAACTTATGGTACACCAACTGGCACTTAGCGTTGTTGTGAACTTCAAAAGCTTATCTCAAATAAGCACACAATTGTTTGGCATTAGCCAAATTATTTGGATTAAGTAAAACGATTACTGATTTTATATTATCATCTTTAATCAAATTTGGGAAAATATTAAACTTCTCTCGAAGGTTTTTATATAGGGGACAATATTAAAGGAAGTGCACTTCATCTTCTACTTTATCTCCGCAAGATTTGCAGAATCTTTCCGTTGATAAAGTTTTTGGTTTAGTGTATCTTCCAGTTTCAATGGCAAGTGAATGTGCACTTATTCTAATTTTTTTGAGAAGTGATCTCTCAAATTTTGGTATATCATAGCTTGGGTATATTAACTTTTAAGTCAAATGATAAGCAAATTATACTATAAAATCTGAGTTTACCTGCGTTATTAAATTTAATATGCTAAAGTTGATTTTTAAAATATCTTGCATTTATAAAAGTTTTTTTAATGAATCCTCAAACGCAGTATATGATACTTGAAGTGAATTAAGGTTTTCAACTTTTTTCATTACTGAATTGAAAAAAAAATATAGGCAGTTTTCGTCAGCTTTTTGTTTTAAATAAGTAACCATAAAGTTATATTTTCCTTTTTGTGAATTTCAGAATAAAATCAAAAACCGTGCGAAAAATTTTATGTTGTTGTTTCCACATACCTGTTTAAAACACCCCCGCGATATTCCGATTGACTATTCCACTTGACCTTTAACCTGTTGAAAGGTATGCATAATTTAGAAATCGTTTATCTCAACCAATCAGAACTTCGTTCAATGTCGTGGCTTTACGCGGAATATTTCTGAGTGCTGAACGTATCAACAAGAGAAAAAAGATAAAGAAAATTAATTAAAAATCAGAAAAGGAATTATTCACCAAAAAGAAATGTTTGGATGATACATATTTAACTAGACTTTAAGTTGAACAGGTGAGTTTGTGTGTAATATCGTGATTTTTATCAAAATTTTAGATTTATTTACATTGCATTCCATCCTAACGAACAAAAGATCAAGAGAAACTATGTTCCGAATAGACCGACCATGTTCATTCATTCATAGAAGCCGACATATGAATGAAAAAATTTGCATAGAGGTGAAACGTTTTAATACTCTTTTACCCTAGCTGATTACAGTAAATCATAGACAACACCTGTCCAAGGGGAAAAAGTCCCGTTTAACTTTAGATTTCAAAAAGTATGTGGATGTTCATTGACGTGTTACTGTTTTACCACAATATACACGCTGCTTCTGGGTGCCCCATCATGCATCACACCTTAAAAAAATGTAAAAAAAAATGTAAATGATTATAATGTCTTGCACTTGATGCAATAATAAAATATCCAGAAAAAAAAGAAAATTAATAAAATTAAAAATGATTAAAACATTAAATTAAGGAACAAATAAATGATATATAATAGGCCTTAAAAAAATACTCAACTAAGTAAAATATAGATGTACGAATGATGATCATTTATTTTTTTTAATGTGGATCAAAGGATGGAAAAAACAAGATGACAAATCGCATGCAGTGTCTACAAAAATAATCAAGATTGTAAATCAATGATATACATTTTTGTAAGTTTGCATTTTGTTTTAAAATATTTTGAATAACTCTCTTACTTTGTCCTACAAACATGTTAATAATTCAATGTTTTAATTCTTGATGCCAAAATATCATAAAATAAGAGCATATAATATTTGAGTAACTGTCAGGGCTTTAAATATTGGCATTTGGTGTCTTTATGCATATTTATTAATCAGATATAAAAAAATTATGATGTACTGAAAGTTTGGATGAATATTTGGCCCTTTACTTTTTAACATTTTTTTTTTATTAGAATTGGGCGATTTTATATATATTTACAGTGACAATTAGACTTGATAGTAATATGACTCACCATCACCAGTCTTGCTTAGTCTTTCCAATTGGCCCTAGGCCCACTAGCCCAGGCTTGTAAAATTTCTATCAGGCCTGTAAATGTTTTTACTACAGGCCAATAAAATCTACACATGTTTTTTTTAAATGAGCATTGTTCCTGGAACCCCCCCCTTTTTTTGACGATCAATGCTATTGAATGGAGACATGGTTGGAAACCCCCCCTTTATCCTGGGTTGGAACCCCCTTTTAAAAATGGCTGGATCCACCCCTGCTGTAGCTGCAAAAGGTCATTGTGAAGACTGCATAATAACACAGATGACACTCCAACGGATTTATCATTTAATGAAACTATGAAAAGTGTGGCAGAAATTTTTACTTTTAAATAATTTTCCTGTATTTTCATTTGAATTCTTTTGTTCAAATTAAATTATGTCTAAAATTTGTTTATTGTATAAAATAATAAAATTTTAGCAGATATAACCATAACAAAAGAAATGTAAATCAAGGGAGATTTGGGATAATTGTTGAATTGAAACAACCCAACAACCTAAACCATAAAAGCCATTTAAAGGTAAAAATATGGTCTTTAATTATAGAGACACCTCCTTACCAGATAGCAATACAAATTAAATCACATATACATGTATACAGACAGATAAACTCCTACATATACATGTTTGTATGTTAGGCCACACCAATAGATGTGTAGATATTTGTTGTTGCTGTTATAGAACATGTAGAAAAAGATTGATGAAAACATGTTATTAGTCAAAAAAAATGTCTATAATGCCCCATTTTTTCTTCACCTGCAATTAGACTAAAACAGAAAAAAAAAGATTGAATTGGTTTGTTCTCGGGAATTGCCTCCCCTCAACAATAATAATATTTTAAGCTCAGTTCAAAATAAATGTAAATTAAAAAAAAGTGTAATATAATTTGAATTTTACAAGTTATATAATGACCTTATTTTTTAATTTTATGTATATCATTCATGAAAACAGATGGAAAAACTTTGCATCTATTAGTAATTTAATACAAGGGTAGAGACACCCTAATTTTTGATAAGATAGTGATTGAAAAAGGGAGATAATCAGTAATAGATAGGTAAGTCAAGTGCATGGGAGATAACTTATGAGCAAGATTATTATTGGTTTGATTGTAAATGATGGTAAAATTGAAAGAAGCATGGAGAATCAAGCTCAAATACTAAGAACATAATATTTTAAATATTAATTCATAATTGGCTGATTTATACATGTACACATCCACTAGAAATATTTACAATTTTTATATTTTAAAAGTTTTCTTTTTTGAATAGAAAATTTATATGTATATACAAAACACAATTAAGTACTTTGCACAGATTTAAATATTCTCAAAATTAAAATTGGAATAATATGAAAAATTAAAAAATCACATTACTTGTATGACTTAGCTGTGTGATTTTTTTGTGGTACATGTATTCTATTTAAAAAAAAAATACCGTAATTCAAAATTTATATATGTTGCCAACTAACTATATGTAAACCGTGAATGACACTGCATATAATAGAAACGACAGAATATGGGGTATCCATCCATGACACAAAACCAAATCATTCACAGCAATAAAAAACACAGAAAGCAAAGGAACAGCACTTTTATTGCTGTTCCTTCATGAATGCTGCTCTGTAATAGGTTACTTCAGATATAAAATGTCATACTGCATTTTTATATGTATAAGTCATTTTAAGATTTTATATACAAGTAAATGATTTTATAAGCTACATGTAGATATGTATATATGTCTGATGATTAAAGATATTGTTATCCACTTTCAATCAGTAGGAGTTTTAAGTATATATACACTTCAAGTAAGACAATTTTCTTGATCTTGTAACTTTGAAAATTGAACTTCACATGTGACAAAATTGTGGCTTGGTACATACTTGTATTTATAACATTTCATTTATCTTTACTCTTTATTCATAAATATGGTTTTGACTTGGATGGAGAGTTGTCTCATTGGCACTCATACCACATCTTCTTATATCTATTAAAGGAAAATGCTCACTGTGGAAAGTTCACTCTTATTGGCTAAAACCAATTATCAGGTAGATTATATGTTGTCCAGATACATGTATTTGCAAGAATAAGCTTAGAGAAAATTAGGGACTGAACAATTTTGATGTGACTTACCAAAATTTTCGAAGTTATAAGATACATAAACATGTAGTAAATGACTTGCGGTCATAAAAAATTTCGAGTACATTTATTATACTCAGAGTCAGAATTCAACCAATCAAAATGCTGGATTTGTATTTCGAGCACAAATTTTGTTCTCAGAGTACTGAGTAAAGTTTCATGACTGAAGGCGGCCTAACTGAAATTTTCAAAGTTATAAGATGCCTATAGTGTAGAGTACCTGTCAAAATTTATAAAATTAGAATGTGGAATTGTGAAATCAGAATCCTATTAAACGTAGTATCACTGACTTTTAGTTGTATTTAAGCATTAATAATCAATCAATGCACCACTGTCCATCACTTGGTATGTTATCTGAGTAAAAACAGATATTCATAAGCCATTTATGGTAAATGGTTGTTCCATTAGCACTGTATGGAAATGCATTAAATATAAAGTTGAGTGAAGAAAATTGCACAAAATGTATGAACATATGAATATTTTAAAATCATTTTCTTGGAAAAACTTGAATATTATTATCAAATTGGGGGAAAAACATGAGTGTAGGTGCGATTGATAATCTCCAATTACTCTTTGATTGTATTTGATCTAAGAATTTATTTTGTGGTATGATAAAATATTTAAATAGATAGTACAGGTATAATATGTGACTAAGATGTGTAACAAAACTTTAGTCATTTTTCAGTATTACTGCTGTTTCACAGCTTAATGACTTGTTTTATGCGAAAATAGCTATGTTTTATTGATTTATTTGGATTGAACCTTAGGAAATTTAAATGCATTGGGCTTAAGAGCCTATTTTGTCCCAAATTGTATATTCTCCTTTTGCATTGTAAATTTGTTTGATCAAAAATATTCTGTAGATCTCCCTGTTTTGGTGGTATCCTTATACCAGGGGTTAGATTTGCTTAACATAATGAAAGGTCCAGGACCATTTGAATTTTTAAGAGAAAGGTCCTCCTTAAAAGGTCCTGTAGAAAGCACCAGTGTAAAGAATTGGAGGTCATTGACTTTTTTAATTCAAAAATGTAAAGTCCCCTACCAGAAAAATCAGGTCCTGGACCTCTGACCTACACTAATTTGAATCCCTGATTCTAGATTTATTTACTAACCTTAACAAGGCTACAACTATAATATCATGAATATTAACATCTTCATTTGACTCATTGACAACCCATCTGAACATGGGTACTATGAGAAATTTTTCACTTGAATACCTACCGACTGGGCAGACTAAATATGATAGACCTCCATGTACATGCATGCATACAATTATTTCTGTGGAAAACTGCTACATGTAGATCACTTGAGCCTCAAGTTTGGCAAGAGTGTTCCTGGCAGTGTTATTCTGATGTCTGTATACCAGATGTATAAAAAAGAAGATGTGGTATGATTGCCAATGAGACAACTCGCCACAAGTGACCAAATGACACAGAAATTAACAGCTATAGGTCACTGTACAGCTTTCAACAATGAGCAAAGCCCATACCGCACAGTCAGCTATAAAAGGACCAGATGTGCCTTTTTGTGTATTTTTATCCAACATCTACGTTAATGGAGAGGAAGTTTAGGTTAATACATTTGTAACTCAAAATCACTAGGTAATCATGAAAAGTTTTCATCAAAAGCCATTTTCACAATGACATACTTTATAAAGGAAATAGTTGTGGTATGATCCCAAATAATGTGGATTGTGGTTGATTTCACTTTCTAGTAATAAACTTTTTATTGTTCATACCTTTTTCTTCCAGTATATCTAAAGACAACATGACATTTTTCACCACAAGAAACTTTAAGTTTTAATATCTTATCTTGTAGGTTTCATCATGTAATTCCATGGCAGCAGAAGAGATGTTGATAAGGTTGCCATGGTAATTGAGGGAAAGGATGTTAGCGATGACCAGTCGAAAAGAAAGATTTGATAACAACAACTATGAGGTGATATCTGTTATTGGAAATGGTGCCTACGGAACTGTGTACAAGGCTCGTGACAAAGAGGGACAACTTGTGGCGATGAAAAAGATTCGAATACAAAATACAGAGGAAGGGATGCCCATGAGCGCAATCAGAGAAATTGCTTTATTAAAACAGCTGGAAAACTATGAACATCCAAACATTGTCAGGTAATTTTTTTGAAAAATTTACAGCTTCTTAAGTCGGCATAGCTTTTGTATTGTTTTTTGACATATACGTTTTGATTTATTGGAAGGAGATGAATTTTGTTATGAATGTATAATCTAGCTATGATAAAATCTTCGGTTAATCAGAAATCAGATTAGTCATTTTAGAAATGGACATTTATAAATTTACTATATAAAAAACATTAAGGACATCATAATATTGATTGTTTATGAGTTGTCTGAACCAAAATTAAGTGGTGCAATTGCAGTCCCAAAATAAACTGAGTAATTTTCAAGTCCTTAAAATATACGAGTTTGAATGGTTGAGGCAAAAGTTGCCTTCTTGCATCACATAATCATTTGACAGAATCATCTAGTAGCTGGACTGACAAGAGAACTGCCTATAGTTTTCAACCTGAAATGTAATTTTTTATGCATTTTTTAACAAAGCTTTTCAATAACTGCCCAATCAAATTCTGAATTTGCAATATTTTTTTTCTATACTAAGAATTAAACTAGTAGTTTTAGATAAGTGTTCAGAAACTGACATATATTCTGAACAAAGAAATCAACATTCATGAATATGTAATGTAAATAAAACTAGTTAACTGTAAATTACAGTTTTATTTTTGAGTACTTTGTCAATTGTAGGCATTTACAAGTAAAAAAATAAATGTTTCCTGAGAGTAAGGTTCAACACATATTTACATCATGCATACATGAGTGATGTAATTGAGTGTACCCATATGTCTTATAATTTTTTAAAGATTTGAAGTACACACAGTACATAGACACAAGATAGAGAAACATTTTACATGCATGTAACAATGCTAGAAAATGTATGAATAATTATATATATTTTTTAATAATCATTTATTATTCATATAACAACATGTGTATCATATAAAGAAATATGTGACATTAAAGTATTCAAAACTAGTGATGACTGATTGTGTATGCTGAGGTCACATATATCATTACTTTTTTAAAGGTTCAAAACATCTGCTGAAATGAAACATTTGTATAGTCTACTGCACAGCTCATGAAAAATGCAAAAGGGCCATAATTTTATTCATAAAGATAATTGTGGTAAAAATGCCTTAATCAGTGGCAGATCCAGAAATTTTCATAAGTGGGGGCCCACTGACTGCCTAAGAGGGGGCCTGCTCCAGTCATTCTTCAGTGATTCCCTATATACCGGTAATCAACCAAATTTTTCCCTCAAAAGGGGGGCCTGGGCCCCCTAAATCCGCCTCTGTTAATGTCAATTCAAGTTGCCATAGGATGACCTCATTTTAAAAACATTTGCAAAATTCTGCATTTTCAGTGTCAAAAGTGTCCATATTAAACACAATGAATAAAAGACGACTTATATTCAAACTGTCAAAAGACTAGGAGTAGATTGTGAACTTTAATTTTCCTGGACGGCTTTTGTGTTAAAAGTCTTAATTTTCTCAAATTCTTGTACAATGTATTTGAAATTTTGGTCTAAGCATTGTACTGAATGAGACCTGCACACATCCTGAAGAAGTTGTTTAGTTTAGTGAAAATTAAAAAGAAAAGTTTTAATTTTCTGTTAAGGGTAAAGTGTTGACAGACCATAGATAATCTGTTTAACACTATTTTCTGAGATCACCACAATGAAGTTGGCTTATGAGGTAATAGTGTTCTCACTCTTCTCAACTGCCAAAAAAAAAGGAGCTTGAAAAGGAAATTACCAAACAATAAGATCAAAGCAAAAATTTTTAAAATATGGATAAAGTTGTTTATGTGAAAAATAGTAAAATTTATATATATGAATGGAAAAGTAGATATATATATATGGTTGGGGATATGATAACCATGAATAATAGGTCACATTACTATGATTCCAAAATTATTTATAATTTGGAAGGTGTGGTGTAGAGAAACTCATGATTAAGTAACAACGAACAATGTGGTTTAAGTTAAAAAAAAAAACATTGATACTCATGCATTGTTTTAATTATGTTAAATATAGATTACCTGGTTGTATGTACATGTATGTTAATTAACTACACTGGTTTAACCATTACTTTTATATCCCACTCTATATTGCATTTGTCTGTTTGCCCTTCCTTTGGTTCATCCAACAAACATTTCTCTGAAGGTACTGCAAATCAGAATGACTTCATATTTGGTAAACATCTTGAAATTGATGGGTTGTAACAAGTTAGCACTTTTCAGTTTTTTTAGACGACCATTTCTTCAAATTTTTTGATGCATTGTAAATGTATGTTGAACAAATTAAGAAAATTTCAACACACATTTCTCCAGTCCTACTTAACAGAATAACTTCATATTTAGTCAGTAGCTTGAAAGTGATGAGTTGTGATTTGTTAGCACTTTTTAGAAGTACTACTGACATGACTGAAGAAAATGTTTGCATAAGTAGTCAGCAGCTTGGTACTGATTTTCAGATCTGCCAGACACCTACTTCCTTTTTCCAATGCTTTAAAATAAGAGCTTGGATATTTATAGCATGACAACAAACATGTGCATTTTTGTTTAATATAAATTTTGATTCAAATAAACATTACATTTAAGTTCTTTCATGATGATGAACCATGGATTTTTTCTCTTAAGGTATAGAACCACTAATTCAGGCCCGAAGTCAGAAAGAACATACAAGAAAGTAGAACATATTTTACACAAAATAGTTGTAAATAAGTAAAATATTTGGGCAATATTTTGGTATCAAATATAAACTTAAGCACTTGGAATCACTGTAGAACCTTTGTTGAAAGTTTCTTTTGAATAATAGAAAAAATATATGAAATTGAAATAGGAGGGCATACCTGTTCCTCAGATTAGAAGTACATTGTACTTGTTTTTGTACTACCAAATTTCAAGGAACCAATGTGATCTTTGCAATTAAAGGTATAATCAATGAATTATAGGTTTTACTCCTTAAAGAGGTCAGTCTGGATTATAATAGAATTGAGAATGTACATGTACAAATGTAAATATTTGTTTCCCAGCATTGTTTTTTAAAGGACTGTTGGAGAAGACATTATTAAGTTGTAAAATTGTGTTGGATCCATTTGTCATATAATTTGAACAATAAAATATGTTTAAACTATAAGTATATGACAAATGGATCCAACACAATTTTACAACTTAGTAATGTCTTCTCCAACAGTCCTTTAAAAAACAATGCTGGGAAACAAATATTTACATTTGTACATGTACATTCTCAATTCTATTCCTTTAAAGAACAATGTCTAAAAAAGTCTAAGCAGATTACTTTGAAATATTAATCATGTGATTTGAAAAGGGAGGTAACTCTGATTTATAGTGACCCAGTTCAACAAGGTCAGACAAATACTGGTGTTCAAACCAATTTATAGATTACTTTTAATGTATTGTAAAGACTTCAAGGTGTGACATGGCAAAATTTAAAACTTAAGTATCATCATACAATACAAAGTCCATTGTTTGTATTTTCAGTTCAGAAAGTTCAAATAAAGGAGAGTTCATGTCATATTTTTTAGCTATAGAAAAAAGTTCTTGTATATTGGATATATATATATATATAAATCAAAGAGTTTTTATAGCGTGTTTGGTTTAACTAAATATTTTCATCTGTGTTATTAGCTCACCTTTCCAAAGGAAATGTGAGCTTTTGCCATCACTTGGCGTTCGTCGTCATCATCGTCATCTGTCATCGTAGTCCAACCGGTGTAAACTATTTCAAACATCTTCTCTGAAACTACTGAACCAATTCCAACCAAACTTAAGCTGAATGATCCTTAGGGTATCTAGAATAAAGTTTGTGTTTTATTTTCTGTTTCCACAAAAAACATGGCTGCCATGGCTAAAAATAGAACATAGGGGTAAAATGCAGTTTTTGGCTTATATCTCAAAAACTAAAGCATTTCGTTTTGATTTCATGATTTCTGATAATTTTAAAACTACTAGTATTTACACTAAGGATTTTTTTTGGCTTATATCTCAAAAACTAAAGCTTTTAGAGCAAATCTGACATGAAATAAAACGTTCATTAGGTCAAGTTCTATCAGCCCTGAAATTTTCAGATGAATCTAACAACCCATTGTTGGGTTGCTGAAACTAAATTGGTAATTTTAAGGAAATTTTGCAGTTTTGGGTTATTATCTTGAATATTATTATAGATAAAGATAAATTGTAAACCACAAAAATGTTCAGCAAAGTAAGATCTACAAATAAGTTTTATATGACCAAAATTGTCAATTGACCCCTTAAGGATCGAGTTATTGTCCTTTAAAGACAATTTTTCACAATTTGTTCATCTAGTTTGCTTACTTTAAAAAATCTTCTCCTTTGAAACTGCTGAAGCTATTTCAGCCAAACTTGGGCTGAATGAGTTTCAGAGTATCTAGTATAAATTTGTATTTTATTTCCTTGTACGTCAAGAAACATAGCCCAGTGGCAGATCCAGAGGGGGGGGTTCCGGGGGTTGGAACCCCCCCTTTTTTTGGACGATCAATGCATTTGAATGGGGACATATAGTTGGAACCCCCCCTTTATCCTGGGTTGGGAACCCCCCCCCCCCCCCCCCCCCCCCCTTTTTAAAATGGCTGGATTAGCCCTGGCTTAAATGGAACATAGGGGTAAAATTCATTTTTTTGCTTTTGAAGAAAATATGACAGATACAAAGAACATTTAAATGGCATTTTTAAGCCCAACATTAATATATATTGACAAGCAAAAATAATCATTGATGAAAGATTTAAGCAAAAAATTACAGGTGAGTAATTCAGGCTCTTGAGAACCTCTTGTTCTCATTTTCAGTTAATCTTCATGAAGCATTTTTAAAATGGAATAATATTAATATTCATTTTATTTTTGAAGGTTAAATTTACAATCATTTTTTTTAAAAACAAAATAAGCTACAAACATGGAATTGGGAGTATATGGTGAACAATGTTCGGCGCTTCAACCTGAATTATAATGAAGTTTATATATGAATGACTCAAATTTCATGGTCCAAGATCAATAAATGA